CAGCTTGTCAATCAGAGTGACATTTTTACGTTTATGTATAACCTCTTCCTACATTTTCTACATTCATTTCAAACACCATGTCATCTGAAAAACAACTGTACCTAGCTCATTTGGGCGAAGAGATCGAACAAAACCCTCAATGGGCCGGAACCATCCTTGACGAATTATTTGCGATTGTAAAAGAAAAAGTTACTACCCAAGATCTTTGTGAAATACGCAGACAAGTGACTAAATACATTGACGAGATTGAAACCTATGATGCACAAGTGGGAGACCATTCTACATTTCATCAATTATACAAAGACATGATGACAGCTTTTCTAGCTTATGTCACCTATTTACAAATATCGTGCAGAGTGAACAAATAAATTATAGTTAATCCCCACCACCATCTTGGATTCTTTTGTTATCTTTGTACTATTTTTGTACCGTTACTTTTTAAAAACCCTACTCACGAACCTATACGAAAATTAACCCTAACCCCTTATAACCCCTCGTACACCTACGCCAAACCCTAAACCCTAATAAAACCCCTCGTACACCTACGTCACATGAATACATTAACCTCAACCGAGACACTCGGACCCAGGCCGTGCGGTTTTCACCAGTCAGGCCCCGTATACTACTCTTATGACTCCGCTCACGACTCCGTTTTTCGATTTTCACTAGGTCATAAGCGCTCTTACGACTCCGACTACGACTCCGACTCTGTCGCTAATGAAAACCAGCCTTTAGTATGCAAAAACGGGTGAACGCCACCGCTTGATAGAAGTGACCGCAAAATAGGGTGAATGTAGTAATAGGGGGTCACAATTTCGGGACTTTAAAAACCGACTGCTTAATAGAAGTTCGACTCTATCTATTTTCTTTAACTTTTAAATTCGTTTCGCTCTCTGAGAGATTATACATGATATTTTAGGACACGTTTTGGTTGATCAAACGTCCTGTTTGGTTTATGTTAACGTTTTATTCATCATCTTCTATTTCCTTCGTTTCATTGTCGTCACCTGAGTCTGGCAAATAACATTCGATTCATGGCTTAAATCCATTCTACACCAGATATGTAATAGTCTATCACTCATTAGAACATAGCTAGCAGAGTCGCGCAATCAAATTCATTATACGTAAGCGTGCTCAAAATCCCGATAGTACACGCTGATAGCGTAAGCAAATCCGACTTCGCCAGAAAAAATTTTTTTTCGCGCGAGCGCTCATTACTAGTGCGGGGAAAAATAATACATTTCGCGACAATAATGGATACAAACAGAAACTCGGCCTGCTATTCCGAAAACGAAGACAATGTTTCGACCTTTTCCCATGGGCTAGAGTTCTTAAATGAGGCAGAAAAAGAGAAAAACAAAGGAAAAGGAGACTCGGCATCAGCGCCGTCACGATTCGCTTCAACTGATATTGTTGTCCGTTTTTCGCGTCGCATTTGATGCACAATTCCACCGGCTATGTTCTAAAACAATTGGTTCATGCTTTCAGCTGTGCACTATCGAGTTATGGAGCACGTGGGAAGTTTGGAGAGCACTCAAGAAGCTAGAGTTGCCCTCGGCTATCGCCTCGGGCAACTCTTACGCTTCTTTCGTGCTCTCCAAACTTCCCGCGTGCTCCATAACTCGATAGTGCACGCTAAAGCATGAACCAATTGTTAAATAACACATAGGAAAATAACTTTTGCATGGTACTTAGCCTTGGATCGCATCTGCACACAATTATTTTCATATTTTCACAACATAATCACAGTTATGGGAAAGTTTTTGTGTTACGTTGCGTCACGTACCTTCAGCCACAGCTCAGCTGCTACTTTCACAGTTATTTCTTTGATTACTTTTTTTGCCCACTGTTTCACTTTCTCAGCCGCTTGTTTACGAATGCGACGGGTATCAGCGACAGGAAAGATGAGCGAGCGGGAATGAACACTATCGACACTAGCGACATCTCCGCCGATTCCACCACCCTGAAGTGTGGTTTAACCAACTGCTTCTTAACTACGTGACATGAGAGACAATGCTTAGCATGACAAACAACCATATCAGTTTCATCAACGTCATTTGGGTCACGGCCTGCGGTGTAAATCATACCCAAATAACATTTATCCATTATTGTCTTCTAATACAAATACACGTTTCCGCTGGTGGGTGCTGATGGTTCAATTTCAGCAGCCCTAAACTACAAAACTTAAATTTGAACCCTTTTTCACGAGGAAGGACAAAATTTGAGGTGCATGGAATGAAAAGAGAATGGTGAGGAAATAGAACGTGTTCGAGTCGTTCAAAGTAATTTTTTATCAGAACTGTTCAGTGCCCCCTAAAGAGACAGTAAAAACATGATGGTCTGAAAATGATTCAAACAGGGCTTTAAAAAGAAATCTGAAAGAAGAGCTGTATTCCGAGTTATGAGATTTTCCAAATGAATGGAGTTTAAATGTGACCCATTCATGATATATTGTTCCAAAGCAGTTCGAGACAGTTTCGGCAACGGTAATAACGTAACCCATTCAGGAATACTTTTTCGTCGTTAGATTGTATAGTACTGGTCATGGCTCGAAAAATACACTCCGTGACCATAATTAAGTAGCCTCATCGTTTGCTAATACGTCTTGTGATGGGAAAAAAGAAAGATATTTCTTCGATCCTTGTTGATTTTACAAAAATTGAGAGACCAGTTTCGAAAAAAAAAACAAAAAACGCACAGCGCTTTCAATTTGTAAAATGGGAAACGAGGAAATAAATTATACTTACTTGTTTTGGTTGTTTTCAGCTATTACCTCTCTTTTAAGGTACGTGATTCAGAGACTTCCCTTGGAGCTTAAAACAACTGAACGTGCGTGCTGTTAACTAAGTTACTCAAGTTTGCGCAGAGAGAGAGGAAGTAGAACAAGTTGCTATTTAAGTGTTTGGCCTCAACAAAAGAAATAAAAAGACACGCATCTTTTCGAATTAAAAACGATTTATCTGCAGCTGAATTATAGCCTTGGCAGTTTGTCATTTCGCTTCCTTCATCGAACCGGATCCAGTCGAATTTACAGTCACACTGTATAAGGCGGTCGGCTTTCAAGTCCCGGATTGCGGCCTGTTTCTATTATCTTTCACCTGTATCGGACGGTCACCGAAAGCGGGACTACTCAAATAAAACTAAGAACAATCTTTCAAGTATTTTAAATCCATGTTTCTCTCCCAATTTCAAATTTTAATTTTGACTTGAAAGCAGCATTTTCGAGCGAGATTCTGTACATTAAATGGTCAATTATGGCATAAAGTGGCTTTGTTTATCGCTTTTTTTTAAGACCCCTTATCTGAGGAACCTGTGTCAAGCCTGTATTTAACAGCCATTCGCCGTGACTGCTTAACACAGATTCGACTGTATTCCTTTTCTGGTAAATTCTGTTACTCAATTTTATGTTTATCGGCCATCATTTTCCCACATCGACCGCGAAACCGATTTCTCTCGTTATATCTTAGTTTCGTTCTTGGGGTAGCTGCATTCTCGAAGACACATGTTTATCTCTGTTCATCTGATAAACGTTTTCAGCACATCTCTTTTTCTGATCTCACGACCTTTCACCCTTAAAAGCAAAACAATATTACTCTGGATCAATTTCCAGTCTGTTTCAGTGATAGCTTCTTTCTTACATTTAACTAGTCCCGTTTTTCTCTCACGTTTAAATGTTGGACGCTTTGACTCATCACCTCCTTTCTAAGAACAAAGCACTACCACTTTCGCTCAAATTTTGCACACATTTTCAGTGCTAGCGTATGTTTTCAATCACATCGTCGTTTAAACTTCTCGTGTGGGACTTTGCCTCTCGTGGGTAGGAGCACGTGCCCATATTCCCGGACAGCGGCTGGTAATCGACCTAAGGAATCCCTTACCTCAACAGAGAGGCAATAGCTGAAAGCAACCAAAACAGGAAAATTTACTTCCTCATATCTATTTTATTTTTATTTTATTTCATTAGATTCGCCAACAGGCAGGGACACCGCAACAGCTTGCGCCAATTACTGCGGGCCCAGTAAACCCACCCATCCCACCCCAGGGGAGGACATCCACCACACAGTAATCTCGTGCGTGGGAAATTAACGTCTCCTACCCCTAACCCTGCAGGAGACGGGACCTCCATTTATTCGTCCCTATCCGAGAAGACTAGAATATCTAACTATTTATTGATGTTATGGAAAGATAGCGTATTCTCCTCATTTATTTTAAGACCTTGAGTGTTGGTCCGGCCGGGGCTCGAACCCTCGACCTCCCGCTCAACAGTCTAGCGCTCTATCCATTGAGCTAACCGGGAGGCGGTTTGTTATTCCTAAGAAGAAACTGAACCTTTCGGCACTTTTGTCGGAATTGGTCGTGCAGTAATTATTTGGCTAGGCTCGCAAGGATAGAAGGAATCTAAGCTTAAAGATAAAAACAATACGTGAAAAAAGTATAGCTTTGAGTTTCAAGTGTGAAAAAATGTGAAGGTGGGTGACGGGTCAACACGTCCGACAAATAAACGTGAAGGGAAAAGTGTGACTTATTAATTTTAAGAAGTAACCTTCCGTTAAAACGGAGTTGAAAATGATCCAGGGTAATCTGATTCGTGCTAGGGTGAGCTCATGTCATGAAATTAGAAAAAGGGTGCGTTGAGATGTCCTTCAGACAAACATACGCAATGAGCGTGACTCATAAACTTCAGGAGAGTAGCCACCCCTTATAGACTACCAAAGATGAAATACTTAAATAGCAATTGTTAAATCATGCCATTTCTACTTCCTCTCTCTTTGCATAAACTTAAGTGACATTTTTATCGTCACTACTGAGTACACGTGCGTATCATGAACAGGGAAATAGAACGCACGTTCACCTGTTGTAACGAAGTTAAGCGCCAAAGGAAGTCCCTGAATCACGTACCTTAACAGAAAAGCAACCACTGAAAACAAACTAAACAAGTAAAATTACTTCCTCGTTTTACAGTTCATAAATTGATTTCGCTATACTTTACTCTTCATAAGAAATTGAAGCCCCCAGAGTCCGTTGCACAGTTCTTCCAAAGCCACCAAGGATCGACGAAATCTTATCTTAAGGTAGGAACTCTTGGACGAAATACATATATTTTTTTCTTTATAGAACATCTTAGCATTACGATAAGGCTATTTGACGATGGCAGATGATATTCTCTTGATAATGGTTAAGCGTATTTTTCGGGCCATAACCAGTACTATATCATCTGCTAGCGACTAAAAAGAATTTCTGAAATGGTTACGTTGTTACCGACCCCCATGTAAATGTCGGCTCGAACTGCTTTGAAAATAAATTATCTATTGCTGAATCTGACTAACTTCGTTCATTTTAAATAATGCAAAAACTCGGAATAACGCTCTATAATAATAGTGATAATAATAATAATAATAATAATAATAATAATTATAATAATAATAATGATATTTAACAAGGGAGCCCAACTTGCCATAGCGGTTTTCAGTGGGGCTTTCTGCTTTCGGTTGTCTTTTATAGCCCTGTTTAAATACTTACATGACCACCATATCTCGACTGTCCCGTTAAGGGTTGTAGACAATTATGCGAAAATGGCTTTGACTGAACTCTGACACGTTTTTATTTCCTCAACATTCTTTTTTAATTCAGTGCACTTCAAATTTTGTCTGTCTTTGTGTCTCTGTCACGGCAATTTCTGTTTTGTAGTTCAGCCGGTTACTCAAATCAAATTACCACCACATACTAGCGAACATTAATATTTGTATTTTTAATCGACAGACGTTATTTATTGTGATTTACGCCGCAGGCCGTGTCCCAAGATGACGTTGATGCTGAAACTGATATGCTTGTTTGTCATGCTAAGTATTGTCTCAGATGTCACGCAGCTCGGAAGCTTAGGGTTAACCTCCCTTCAGGGCGGTAGAATCGGTGGAGATGTCGTTAGTATCGGTAGTGTTCATTCCCGTTCGCTCTTCTTTCCTGGCGCTGATGCCCGTCCCTCTATGGTAAAATTAGCTAAAAAAGTTTACGAAACGGCGAAAGCAGCACTCTTGGCTGGAGCAGCTGAGGAGATTGCAAGTAGGTGACGCAAGTAAAAAACGCAACACAAAAACTTTTACATAACAGGGAAAATGTTGTAGAAGTTAAAAAAATAATAATTTGATCCAAGGCAATGGAGACAAGTAAGTTCGATGCAAGTGTTGTGGGCCTATGTGTTCTTCAGTCAGACCCTTACATTTCTGGTGTTAAATGGACTAAAGCCATGAAATCAAATGTTATTTTTCAGAATCAGATGACAGCAATGAAACTAAAGACAATGAAAGCAACCTTGATCAAAACCAAACTGGACGTTAGATCAACCAAATGTGTCTGGAGAAGCCTGGACTATAGCAATAAGTTTATTGTCTTAATAACATGTAGACTGATTTCTGTAAGACCGAAACAGGAATAAAAATTCAATGATAAAAAGAATACACTTTTCTCTCTATTCTCAAGGTTGCTGCGGGGCTCGACCGATCGGTCGGTATCAGTTTGTCTACTTGAAATGTATTTTGTACAGGGATAGATGATAATTTTAGGCAGTGACAAATTTTCGAGTAAATAGTCACAGCATGTGGGATAACATAAATTAATTGTAGGAACTGATGGACTGATCAATCGAGTTAGTTATCCCACATGATAATCAAATCATCTATCTCTGTAAGGCGACAGAGCTAAAAATCTAAAACAGTCAAAGTCGGTTGACAAGTATAGTTGAAGTCTCGGATTCCACCTATAGTTCGGGGCTCTATTAGATTTGGGATCAAGAATGGTCCCGAATCATATATGGATCGAAATCAATTACGATCCGCGATCATCCAGGGTTCGGGATTGTCAGTAATTCGGGATTAGTTGACATAATCTGTCATTTATCACTGAAGAGATGCACGGCAACGTAGAATTTATTTCGCTTCATATGACAATGTCGAAACTTCTGTAAGAAACCAACCAAAACGTCAAGTCTAAGAGGTCTCCAATGACAACTTCACCAGTGGTCACACGGAAGGAAAGAAATGCAAACAAAGAAAAAGAAAATTTCGTTAGATATGCAAACGCTACTGCTCGAACAAACTCTGCTCTCTCTCTCTCTCTCTCTCTCTCTCTCTCTCTCTCTAGACGAATTGGCACCACTTTTGTAACCTTTTTTGTCCACCTTTATATATCCATCATACAAATTTGAAATGATAAATTTGTACTTGCGAATTGCACAGCATGGCCTGCTGTAGATTATGTTAAACTTTCATTTCGATTAAACCTTTGGTGTGCTTTTTATAGCGCTTTTAAGCATGCAAGGGTACGATAGTGCCACGTGTTGAGGTAAAGACCACTTTAAAAGGGTAAGAACCAAATTTTTGAGCGTTGAATGGATATTTCGATCCGTTATGAAGGCATGCACATTCTCTCGACCACCCTGATCGTTTAAAAAAGGGTTTTCGGAACGTTGGAAAAAATGAGGTACAAGTATAACAACTTTCATGCAGAGTCAAGTTCGGGATTTCAATTGAAGGCCATAAGTTGCAATTTTGAACTCCACATATCCATTGTATTCTTGATATTTAATCTAAAGAGTTGAAATTTGCCTGTTTTATAGTCCCACTATACATCGTTATATTCCCCAAGTTATAGTCTTCTAGATGCTTTTGTTTTATTTTCATAATCCTTTAACCACAACCCACTTTTGAGTTTATGCGCGTTACAAATGTGCCACCTCAGCAAGAATTTTATCATTGGGAGATTCAAATTCAAACAATTCGAAGTGAAATAAAGTTTGCTCTGAACATCTGTTGTGTGCTTCTCTTACTGGTGTAATAATTGTAAGGACATGCCTTGCATCGTCTTGGCGCTAGAAGCAAAAGTTTTTAACATCTAAGTTACCGTGCCGTTGCTTGCGTTCAGCGCAGAATATCTTTTACGATTTCTGTACATCTACTGGAATAAAAAGACGACTATTGATCTGTTAAAGGCTAAATTTGAACTTATAAACAAGACTGAAAGCTTTCGTCTCCAGTATAAACAAAAAGGGGAGATGTTATCAATTGGCCGGAGGGGGCTAAGTGGGGAGGGGGTGAACACCCTAAAATGTAGGTGACCGTTGTAGTCCAGGTACCAAAGTGTATTAAATTACCGGGAATTATAATCTCTATAAATCGGGAGCACGGGAATAAAATAAAAAATTTCTATTGTTAAAAACCAGTGTTAAACTGCCGTAAAACTGGCAACTACAATTATATTTCAACAAATTAACATGCCTGGTCGCGGAAAATTCAATATCAATTTCCACCTACTACTTTGTTTATTTTTATGACTGGCTGCTGAGGACTGAGTTTTCACGTTGGCCTACATTTTGGCCATAAGCAAGGGTAACTACTTTTAATAAATAAATCTCTATTAGTTGGATTAAATGGAAGTCCATGCGGATTTCCATTTGGTAACCTTGTTTATAAGATCCCTTCTCTTTTGTTTCTGATGAAATGTAAAAAGGAGACTGCATGTCTCGCATCTCATTTGGTTGCGTTGTTGTTGCTGGTACAACAGAACTTTCATATTCTACAGCATGAAACTTGTGATGTAGTCTGCGTATATACAATACTCTGATAAACTTACAGGTTTTAAGGTAATAGGAAGGGAGCACAAACGCAGTATTGCTGTTTCCGGGAGTTTGCTAGTAAAATCCAAAGTTCATTAGAATTGTAAAGGACATACACCCACAATCATAATGCATCATACGGAAACCTGTTTAAGTGGTCACTGGTGTGTATTAAGGGGATGCGAGTGCCGGTAGTGCCCGCTGTGGCCTACAGTTAGGAACAAGAGTTCAGGATAGGCCGCTTACTCGCCTACCCAACGGCGACTCCAAATAAAAGCAACTCCTATACCTTATCAAAGTGGTTGTTGGTTCTCTTCCTTTTGCTTTTAGGTTCTCGCTCTCTATTGTCTAGGTTCTCTAGTTCTCGCCATCCTTAATAACCAATATTTGTCACGTACAACGAATGCATAACATTGAGCAATAAACTGCAAAAACATCAATTTCATTTAAGAATAAGCAACATATTACCCCGAAAACGGAGTAATCAAATGAAGAACAACGCTAAATCCATGCAGGAAACTCTCTCCCTGCAAAAACATTGCAGTACCTGCTCAAAATATTGCATTTTAGCCTATGCGAAAAACACAACTTATGCTGCAAACGAAAGGATCGTTGATACGTACACACGATTGGCCAAAAATAAGAGCCAATAGAAAAAAAGGATTTTCGAGTCCTTCCAGCGAGTATGAAATGGTTGTGAAACGCCCTATCTGTGACTGATACCGAGAACGAATCTCTACCAGTCTATTTTGTTAATCGGCAACTGACTAGATCCACAAGATTAGGATCGAAATCGCGGTCTTGCCTGAACATCTACAGAAAATGTCGAAAGACATTCCAACGGCAGATGGGTTACTAAACACCCGGGCCAAAGCAATGCCATTGAGAATGAAGAAAACACCGAATCTAAATATGGCGAATGGCGCGGAGAGATTGGGCCTTGTGTCACGTAAACGAGGCTGGTCAGTCGACAGCTTTGCAAACTCAAATGTTTATATTCATTGAACTAGTTTTTATACGAAGCTTTTTATTGATTTGCATCGAGATTGTACCTCGTTCAAACTATGCCTTCACACTGCTGCGTTGTTGGTTGCACTCAGAGAGGTTACAAGTCGGGAAAAGGCGAAAAAGTTTCGTTTTTCAACTTCCCAAAGGAGCGTTCAAGGAGAAAACAATGGATTCACGCCATTCGACGCGACGAAGGGAGGGATTTCCAAGTAACTGACAAAACTAAAGTTTGCTCACTACATTTCAAGCCGTCTGATCTGAGAAAAACATTAACTGGACGGGTTCATCCATTGGAAACGTCAGTTCCGTCGAGATTTATCTGGAGTGTTTCTCGAAAGAAGAGAAAGCCGCCCAAAAACCGATTGCGTTCGACTGCTTCGTCGTCCAGGAAGCGAAAGTTGGACAAAACAGCAGAAAATAACAAATCTGTTATTGCTGATTCGGCTGTAGAAGAAGAGCAACATTCTGGAGATCGTACGGAGAACAAATGTG